ATCTGGAAGGATTTTTCTCTGTGGGCCCAGGGCCCCCCAAAAATAAATTCCATGGGCCATTTTTAGAATTAATGGGCCATGTTGTCAAATGAGTGGGCCATTCGTTAACAATAAAAAAAAAATAAAAAAAGTGTATATTTCACTGTACTTACAAGTATGATTCTAATTAATATCATGGAAATTGTACCTGTGATTTTGTTATTTCAATTTCAATGAATATACAATAACTTCTTCCAAACCGGGCAATATTTACGATAACCTTTATTTACAATGTTAAAACTGGTACTGTTCCCTTGTTCATGTTCATGTTTTTTTTACATTAAATTTGGGTCTTCGTCGATACCATACTTATTCCAGACGTTCCTTGATCTTGATCTTGATCTTGATAGGAATACGGTGATACATCCAAGGATATTAATACACCGCGCGTGCGTCAAGTAATTTACTTAAGTGGGGCCCCCCTTACAATTTCACTAAAGGTTTTAGCTGGTTCTTCTGTGTCTGAATTTTGATGAAGATATCCGGTGGTAGTTGGTTCCAGTCTTTAATGGTATTTGGAATGAAACTGTATTTTAATGTGTCTGTTTTTGTTTGAAGTCTAAGGAAATGTTGGCTGTGCATGTTCTTGGTTGTCCTTGATGGTTTTTTCAGTTGGTCAGAAGGTAAGTTTGCTTGACCGTGTATACTTTTGCAGAAAAGGATCAGTCTGTTTTGTGTACGGCGGTCTTTTAGTGATGGTAATTGCAGTTGGTCTAAAATTGCTGTCATACTTCCTGGTTCGTAGTTGTAGTTTGATGTTATAAACCTAGCCGCTCTTTTCTGTACATTTTCCAGTTGGTCTTCGAGATATAGTTGATGTGGGTCCCAGGCAGTGCTTGCATATTCTAGGACAGGTCGTATCAGTCCTTTATATGCCTGGAGTTTAACTTCAAGTGGACATGCTGATAGGTTTCTTTTTAATAGGCCTAATGTCCTATAAGATTTATTGCATATCTCTATGTGCTTTCCCCAGTGTAGATCATTTGTGATGTTTACTCCTAGATATTTAATAGATGTTAAAATTTGGAGTTCCGTATATTTGAGAGTGTATTTAAATGATGTAATTTTCTTCTTGCGACTCAATGTCATCATGTTGCATTTAATTGGTTGAAATCTCATACCCCAATTAGTCGCCCAGTTACCAAGGGTATCTATATCTTTCTGTAGTTCTGCACAGTCATCTTCATTTTTAATTTCTCTGTAGCATACACAGTCGTCTGTGAACAGCCTTATTTCTGATGTTACATTTTCTGTTATGTCATTGATATGGACCAGAAATAGGATGGGACCAAGAACCGTTCCTTGAGGTACACCTGATAGGACTGTCAATGTTTTGGACTTAGTCCCATTCACTATCACACACTGAGATCTTGTAGATAGAAATGCGTTAATCCAATTCAAGATGTTTTTCGGCACGCCATATTTGTGAAGTTTACTTTTTAATAGTTCGTGCGGTACGGTGTCAAATGCTTTTTCAAAATCCAAAATAAATATATCCATTTGTTTCCTGTTGTCAATGGCAGTTGCCCAGTCATGTATTACGTTAATAAGTTGGATTTCACAGCTGTGTCTTCTTCTAAATGCATGTTATCGGCTATTTAGGATGTTGTGATCTTCAAAGTGCTGCATTAGCATGATTAGGTTCGAGCAAATAACATGTTCTAGTAGTTTGCAAGTGATACATGTTAGGGATACTGGTCTGTAATTACTTGGGATGGTTCTGTCGTTCTTCTTGAATAATGGGCATATGTTAGCACTTTTCCATTCATTTGGGATGGTTCCGTATTAGAGGACGTTTCTGGCATTTCCTCTGCACTTGTATTATTATTACTTCATCACGATGACAAGAATAACAGTAGAGAGCATCGTTAATTGATAAATCACAACAACAATTCGCTGAAGGCATGTTTGATGTCATAACGAGCTAAAGACCAAAAAAATTGACAAGGACAGTTAAGCCCCTTTTATGGAGACAAATACTATGCTATTCATAAAAAGGCTTTTGGATTTTTCAATCGAAATAATAGCAAGCTTACTTAAAAGATTATAATTAGAGAAGAATTATCGACTGTACTAGCCAATTTTCACAAATTTAAAGTTGTAACTTGTTTATAAAAAATTATATCATGAATGATGGTTAATATCGTTTTTTGGGTAATCAGTCATACCGCATGTTGCTATTATTACCATAGGAAAACACCCGAGACGTCCCAAAAATATATAGGTGCTCCTATCATTGGAGTTGTGTACTCACACATGGCGGCACGAAATACGATAGGAAATCCATTTGACGATATGATATCTCAACGTTTCAAAACGAAGTGAAAAATATCATGCGCCACGCGGGCGCTTACATTTGTCACTATGCGCCATTTCTGGTCGATAAGCGCAATTGGCGCAAGGCGCACGTCCTTCCCGATCACTGCTTGTATAGTTAAATTATTTTTTGGCTTAGTTATATGTCCCTTAGACATTCAGATTTTTTTACTTAGACAAGTAAACAAGTCATCCTATCTTCTTTTCTTGAATTTCTTAGGACTTCTTTGCTCTAATACAATTTTTAATTGTCTGTCCTTTGCAGATGTCTTTACTAATCATTTAAGTGTAATTTCATGGACAATGAAAATCTCATTTGTCTGTTATCTTCAGAACACTGCTCATTTACAAGCCCCCAAGGGGTAATTTTTGAAGGCCTTGCGCAAATACTTAAGATCTTTGTGCAATTAGTTTCTTTGTTGAATTAATGAGATGAAACATTGAACTCTAATAAAAAATTATGAGCTAACCTGAGAAAAATTGTAAAAGGCATGTTTTTACATCTCAAACTTGAGAATTTTTCGGAATTGTAAAAAATAATTACTTATACAAGTAAATTTTTGAGAAAACAAGTGAAACTGCGAGCTACTGCTCACTAATGATACCCCCAGCCCTAATACTTGACGGTAAACAGGAAGTTGTTGAGTGATGAATCTGAAAACACATCACACGGTAAAGCTGACTTATATAAACACTGAAACCAAATTTCAGAAATCCTTGTAATGTAGTTCCTGAGAAAAATGTCACGAAAATTTTCAACTTGGATGTGTTGTGTAAAATGATGTAAGTGTTCGGTAAACAGGAAGTTGTTGAGTGATCAATCTGAAAACGCATCACACAGTATAGCTGACTTATCATGCTTGTATAAACCCTGAAACCAAATTTCAGAAATCCTTGTATTGTAGTTCCTGAGAAAGATGTGATGAAAAATTTTCATGGGACGGATGGACGGACTGACGGACTGACGGATGGATGGACGGGTGGACGGACAGACAGAGGTAAAAGAGTATACCCCCACTTTTTTAAAACAGGGGTATAATTAAGGGGAGATTATTCAAACATTATAATTTACTTATATAAATATATTATTTACTTCTTCAAGTAAATAAAGATTACTTGTACAAGTAGTACTCCTAACTGGTTAAATTCTATAGAGATCCATACACTTAAACTAAAGTTATTGTCCGGAAACCAAATGTCTTCGGACAACGACGACGCCTAAGATGCTGATGACAACGAGGACATGATAGCAATATACGACCGCAAAAACTTTATGCGAGTTTTTGCGGCCGTATAAAAACTGCAAAATTTCCTTAAAATTACCAATTCAGGGGCAGCAACCCAACAACGGGTTGTCTGATGCGTCTGAAAATTATAGAGCAGATAGATCTTGACCTGAAGAACAATTTTAACCCTGTCAGATTTGCTCCAAATGTTTTAGTTTCAGACATATAAGCCAAAAACTGCATTTTACCCCCATGTTTCTATTTTTAGCCATGGCGGCCATCTTGGTTGATGGGCGGGGTCATCGGTTACATTTTTTAAACTACATACCCTAAGGATTATTTAGGCCAAGTTTGGTTTTATTTGGCCCAGTAGTTTCAGAAAAGATTTTTGTAAAAGTTAAAGGACAACGACGACGACAGACAACGATTACAGACCCAAGTGATGAGAAAAGCTCACTTGGCCCTTTTGGATTGTCTGATGAGTCTGAAAATTTAAGGGCAGATAGATCTTGACCTGATGAACATTTTAACCATATGTCAGATTTGCTCTAAATGCTTTAGTTTCAGAGAACTGCATTTTACCCCCATGTTCTATTTATAGCCATGGTGGCCATCTTGGTTGATGGGCGGGGTCATCGTATACATTTTTTAAACTAGATACCCTAAGGATGATTTATGCCAAGTTTGGTTTTATTTGGCCCAGTAGTTTCAGAGGAGAAGATTTTTGTAAAAGTTAAAGGACGCTTGCGGACGACGGACGCCAAGTGATGAGAAAAGCTCACTTGGCCCTTTTGGGCCAGGTGAGCTAAAATCTGCATTTAACCCCTATGTTCTAATTTTAGCAACAGCCGCCATGTTTGTTGATAGATTAAAACTTCAGATACAATTTATAAACTAGATATATACCCTAAGGAACATTCAGTTAAAGTTTGAAGGTATTTTGCCCAGTAGTTTCAGAGGAGAAGATTCTTGAAATAGTTTAAGACGACGACAAACGACGACAGACGGTGGACGCCAAGTGATTGCATAAGCTCACATAGCCCTGCTCACATGGCCCTTTTGGCCAGGTGAGCTAAAAATATGACAAACATCAGCGCCGCCTGGTGTCTAAAAACTCTTCAACTGTTCAATTTTAACTTTCAAATTTTGTTTTGAAGAAATTATATACTTTTACCTTGAAGAAAAGAAAATTACTCAGTTAAATGTTCAATTGAAAATTTCTTCTCAGTCCTTGTTCAGAACATTTCGCATTAATGCAAAGAAGAAGAGATATGAAACGTTAACCAAGAAATATGTCCATCGACCTGCAAATCCTTGTGCTGCATGCGTTCAAAATGTAAAAAATATTTTCAAATGAGCTAAAATGAGTATGTCATTTCTTCACATGAGTCAGATATAACAGAAATATTTAAAACTTACCCTTTAAAGCCATTGACATGACGTCTTCTTGGTTAAAAAGAATTGTTTGTCGTTTGTCTCGGAAACAAGTTAACTCGTACCACGTAAACTCGTACCAAAAAAGTTAACTCGTACCAACGTAAACTCGTACCACTGGGAAGTCGTACCAATCAGAACTCGTACCATTAAAAATATATTCAAAAATACGAATGTTTTATGATTTTTTTTTGGTAAACTTAATAAAAAAAGTTGATTTACCAATTGAGATTGTCATGTTTAAAAATCGATTTGTATATCCAAACTCTAGACGTGTACGTGCTTTTTTCAAACAAGTCAGCAGAAGTTCAGAAAATGACATATTCTCTTCACAGTAAGTCAAAAGTCGAACCCACCCTTGTTTCTATGGTAAAACGCAATACAAATATGAAACAGACTATAGCTTAAAAACTAGTTAAACAATAATTCATTTGTCACCAAAAAATACGATTTCACATCAAATATCAAGTAAAATTACAATGGTACGAGATAACTATAATTCTTTGTCTCGATAGCAGTCTAAATTCCAAGATGGAACAGGAAGTTTGTCAAAACTAGACGCTGAATAACGGGATTGGGACAAGTCGGACCAGGAAAACTCGGACCAGTTTTAAAGAAACTCGGAAAGACAAATCGGACCAGTTTGAAACACTGATTGGGCCTATTTAAGGGCGAATCTAAACATTTACAAACACAACTATAATCAAAAGGTGAAACACTGATTGGGCCCATTTAAGAACGCTTCTGAGTGGTTGATTCGAGGGGAAAAGGGGGAGGGGGGTAGAGCATGTATACCCCCCCCCCCCCCCGTTTGATCGCCAAAAAAATAAATAAATAATTTTTCACGATGTATATAAATTTTTAGTCTAAAAACGTCCAATCATGTTTTTATCTAATTGTCTTAAAAACTGTTCCGAGTTGTCTTTAAATGATTTTTCAATGTTTTATACTTAGTGTAAACTTTATTAATTAAATTCAAGTTAAATAATGTACACAATTTGGCATTAATTAACAGATTAATATAATTGAATAACTATCAGTATTATAATGTTTTATACTTGATCGAATGTATATAAAAAAGTCAAATTGAACCATTGATTCACATAAATTTGCAAATGAATATTGACTGACTGCTCAAATTTCGGCCCCAACAGGAGGATCTTTTCCTTTGTCAGCTCAGTGAGGGTCTGGGCTTGTTTATTGCTTATTTATTTATTTTTGATTATTATTACGAACAGGATAAGTCTGTTTTATTATGCACAAGCACTAAATCCGGGAAATATATACAGAAAAAAATGTAAAAACATAGCAAATCTAAAGATTTTAAGTACCGATTTTACATGTCGTAACGTTCTGAATATTTGAAGTCTACTTGTGAACACAAAAATAGTATTAGTACATAAATGTGCTGCATAAAATTGCTCATTGTAGTGAGCATGCATGGAAAGATTCCGGGCTGTTTGTAGTACGCATGGATTCTGCGGATGGTAGTGATGCCCAAAGACTTGAAGGAAATGGAGAATTTGCTGAAATACCTTTGCAATTATTTACGGTGCATCGCCATGAAATATCCCCTGATTTAAGGATGATACTATAAGTCGGAAGAGCATTAGTTAAGGAACAAAACAAGCTAAAGATATTGAAAGGTTATGGAGCTCCTTTTCGAGATATTTGATTTTTAAAATATGGCGGGAAAAGGTTGACTCGGATTTTTACCTTATATTTGCATTGGTATTATTTGGGTCTCAAATCAAAAGAATAAAATCTAGAATCTGCTTAAATTTTGGTAAATGAACTTTTATGCGCTATTGAAGTCTTATATGAAAAGAAAAATGGGTGTTATGGGGCAAAATATTTTACCCTGTATTGAAGGAAAAAAAAACAAAGGAGTCCGAACATCTGACACAAATTCCGAAACCTCACCAAAGTACATCATTAAGTGTTCTGTCGATATGGGAAGTAAATCCATCGTACACTAATGAATTTTTCCTCCGACTTGTTTCTTACAAACGAAATTCCATGTTTGTGCCTTGACGAACTTTTCAAACTAACTTCAGTAAATAATACTAAAGCTATCACTTTTTGGTAAAATAGGAAACAGAATACTATTTATTCTGAAATATTGCAATTAAGTTACATGTATGTGTTAAGCTGTACGGGATATCTCATAATCACTTTATAATTTTTTAGAATTCAATATGAAAAATATATAATTATAAATTTACAAATATGTTCAAAATTCATATTAACTATAGTCATACTTATGATTCTGAATTATCTTTATTTCTTACCTATGTTACCTGTAAAATGAATGTGCGCAAATGTAATCAAAAGCTGCACGCAAACGTAACAAATCTTAATCCCCAAACGCGCTCAAATGTAATGCGCCCGATTCACCTCAGTGACACATGCAATTACAGGAAGTCACATAAAGAAAAGAGTAATAGGGGCAAAAAAATAAAAATAGAGAATAATGGGGTGCTAAAATATGATGAATAACTGCGAAAAAAATCCAAAAATTGGGTAAAAATATACTGATTACAGAAAAGAACAATGTCCAGAATAAAGTTATCAAGTAATCGAAGAATAACCATTAATTATTTTTAAAGATAAAGAATAACGAGCGAAAGCATTAAAGCATACAGAAATGAACCAGGCCCCCCAATCCACACCCTCATATAATGACGCAGCTAAACAAATCAAAAACTTCACAGTTACCTAAACAGGCCTCAGCACGGGCAAGTAAATTATAATGTCTCTATATAAACAGTAAAAAGTAATGTTACGAAAAAAGGAAACTTACCCTGTCACAGTAATATATAACTTTACGCTGTCACAGAAATATGTAACTTTACGCTGTCACAGAAATGTGTAACTTTACACTGCCACAGAAATATGTAACTTTACGCTGTCACAGAAATGTGTAATTTTACGCTGTCACAAAAATTTGTAATTTTACGCTGTCACAGAAATATGGAACTTTACGCTGTCACAGAAATGTGTAACTTTACGCTGTCACAGAAATCAACCCTGTCACAGAAATGTGTAACTTTACGCTGCCACAGAAATATAAAATTGAGAATGGAAATGGAGAATGTGTCAAAGAGACAACAACCCGACCATAGAACAGACAACAGCAGAAGGTCACTAACAGGTCTTCAATGCAGCGAGAAATTCCCGCACCCGGAGGCGTCCTTCAGCTGGCCCCTAAACAAATATATATACTAGTTCAGTGACAATGAACGCCATACTAAACTCCAAATTGTACACAAGAAACTAAAGTAAAAATAATACAAGACTAACAAAGGCTAGAGGCTCCTGACTTGGGACAGGCACAAAAATGCGGCGGGGTTAAACATGTTTATGAGATCTCAACACTCCCCCTATACCTCTAGCCAATGTAGAAAAGTAAACGCATAACAATACGCACATTAAAATTCAGTTCAAGAGAAGTCCGAGTCTGATGTCAGAAGATGTAACCAAAGAAAATAAACAAAATGACAATAATACATAAATAACAACAGACTACTAGCAGTTAACTGACATGCCAGCTCCAGACTTCAATTAAACTGATTGAAAGATTATGTCTTCATCATATGAATATCAGGCACAATCCTTCCCGTTAGGGGTTTAGTATCATACCATCATAACATATATGAGAAGAACATAACCCGTGTCATGCCAACATCTGGTTTTTAAATAAATGTGTTTAGTGCCGATGCAAAGACCCTATAAGTGAATCAATATTAACGCCAAAATATGCAATCTTTAATGACCTGACAACAGTATCGTAACTATATCCCTTCTTAATAAGTCTATTTAAAGGTTTTGTTAGCTTCAGAGGTGAATACTGACATTTTTGTGCTTTATAAAGAATATTTCCATAAAAAATTGGATGTGAAATACCTGAACGTATAAGAAGTCTGCATGTTGAGCTATATTTACGAATGATGTCCTTATACCGATGATAAAATTTAGTAAATGTTTTGACTAGTTTGTGATATCGAAAACCCTGGTGTAATAATTTTTCAGTAATACATAAATTTCTCTCGTTAAAATCTAAAACATTGTTACATACACGAGCGAATCGTACAAGTTGAGATATATAAACACCGTAAGATGGTGACAAGGGAATGTCACCATCTAAAAATGGATAATTAACGATAGGAAATGAAAAATCATCTCTTTTATCATATTTTTAGGTTTAAGCTTTCCATTAATGATATAGATATCAAGATCGAGGAAAGGGCAGTGGTCATTGTTAGTATTAGCTTTATTTAAAGTAAGTTCAACAGGATAAATGACTTCAGTATACATACTGAAGTCGTCATTATTGAGAGCCAAAATATCATCCAAATATCTAAAAGTATTATTAAATTTGTGTATCAGATGTTGTTTCGATGGGTCTTTGCTGATTTTTGTCATAAATTGTAACTCATAGCAATACAAAAAAAGGTCCGCAATAAGTGGTGCACAGTTAGTCCCCATTGGAATTCAGATAACCTGACGATAGGCTTTACGCTGTCACAGAAATATGTAACTGTACTCTGTAACAGAAATATATGTAACGTTACGCTGTCACAGAACTCAACCCTGTCACAGAAATGTGTAACTTTACGCTGCCAAAGAAATATGTAACTTTACGCTGTCACAGAAATATATGTAACTTTACGCTGTCACAGAAATATGTAACTGTATACTCTGTCACAGAAATATGTAACTTTACACTGTCACAGGAATATATGTAACTTTACACTGTCACAGAACTCAACCCTGTCACAGAAATGTGTAACTTTACGCTGTCACAGAATTGTGTAACTTTACGATGTCACAGAAATATGTAACTGTACTCTGTCACAGAAATATGTAACTTAACGCTGTTACAGAAATATGTAACTTTACACTGTCACAGAAATATGTAACTTTACGCTGTCACAGAACTCAACCCTGTCACAGAAATGTGTAACTTTACACGGTCACAGAAATATGTAACTGTACTCTGTCACAGAAATATGTAACTTAACGCTGTCACAGAAATATGTAATT